CCCCAAAACCCCAAAACCCCAAAACCCCTTGCAGTAATTAAAATGTTAATAGTCATAATGCGATAATCAATAAAGGAATATTAAGTTAGTGAGGACAAAAATAATTGGGGGTTAATATTCTTATGATTTATAGCAATATCATATTCTTAATAAGGTTTAAATTTTTGATTGCTCGTAAAAGCCCATGACATCCTTGTGCTAGAATATTATGTAATATTCTTTATCAGCCATGAAAGTATAAGGTGGTACTTACACTACCTTGAAGATGGTTCAAAGGAGCTCCTCCTTTTCAACATTGATGCTTCCTGAGTTTCTACTGATAGCATCAATCTCTGCTGTTCCCTTCTTAGGAGCATTCTTGGCATTTTTAATCTTCATTGGGACAAATACGATGAGGAAGTAGAGAGTCATAAATCCAAAGCAAATCAAAGCTTCGGCATCGGTACAGGTTGTGAAGCTAGTACCAAGTGCAATATAACTGGAGGCAAAAGGACCCACAAACAGTCCTAAGGTAAATGAGCAGTTGAAGAGTGCAACAAGTGTGTCGTTTAATTTCTGAGGCTCGTACTTCCTGCCTGTTTCATTGACAGCATCAACCATCTCTTAATAGGCTGGAATAATAGTGAAAGGGAAGGTCATGCCCCCAATGACTAAACCAGTCACAGAAATCCATAGATCCTGAGGAAACCCAAGAAGTTTTGAAGGTCCAATCATTGATATTGTAATGCATTAAATTACCATAGCTAAAATCATCACAGAAACACACTCGTACTTATCAATAACTTTATGAGCGAATGGAGAAGTGACCAAGAATCCAAAGCATTAAGCAGCATAAATGATGCTTACCATTGAGGTGTCTAGTTTGAAAGTGGATTCAAGATTATCGGCGAGAATTGTATCGGGGAAACTGAACAAATTCAAGCAGATAAAAATTGAGAAAAGTGCAAAGAGAGCACGTTTATTTCTCATCACAGTAAGGTAGCCGATTTCTTCATAGACTGGCTTGTCCTGAGAATGTGTGGAATCCAGACGCATCTTTCCCAAAAGATCATTGTTTTGAAGGTCACTCTCGCTCTAAGCAAATGTAAATCTTTGGTACTGCAACTGTTCATCCTTTCTCAAGTTTGGTTGCACCCAAGAAGTGAATGAAGAGTTATGTCTGACTCTGCTCTCTTTGAGAGGGTCAACATCCACGAACTTGATTAATACACCTTGAAATGCTGCATATACAAAGAACACAATGCCTAAATGGTAATTATAGAGAATAAGAGCTACCGCAAAAGGCGAAGGGCCCTACAAAGCCAAGAAAGTAGGCAATAAACGCAGCGATAAGTACTCCACTCATATTTCCAAAAACTAGTGTAAGATTTATAAATATCAATTATGTATATATAAAATGGCAAGTGAGTTGAGAATCTTACCTCCAGCGAACTCCATAATGCTCACAATCTTGTTCTAGTCGTCTTGAAACTGAATCATCAGTTCTCCATATGCTAAAGACGTTAATAAGGATTTATGCGAAAGAAGTTTAGTGAAATATACCAGCAGTCTGAATGAATCCTGCTCCAACTCCTTCTATCGATCTGCCAATGAAGCCAATAATCACAAATGCAGTACTATTGATAATGAGTGTTAAGGAATATGCTGTGATCATAATCTTACGCCTAATCAATGTAGTTGATTGCAATAAAGCAACCAGCAGCTACTACTTAGCAGATACATCCAAGTCTTAAAACCTTAGATCTACCTATGCTAGCTTGATATTTTCCTATAATCAGAGACGTAATAAAGAAACAGACTGTGTATGCTCTAAAATTGATTAAGATTTTTATCTTTAAAGGCAGAAAGTAGAGCTTACGTGAAAATAGGAGCGTAATAGTAATTTGGAATTCCCTTATCTTTCATTTGATCTGGCAAGAATGGTGCCAATATCAGGAAAAATGCCTCCTTGAGTGCGTTAAGGAGGCAAAGAGAGATAAGCGTGAGTGTAATTTACATTTCGCTTAAATTTAAGTATATATATATTATGTATAAGTCTAATCAATTTAATTGAGTAAGGACTTTCACCGACCTTAAATTTAGACCTTAAATCCTTCGAAACTTTAGACTATATAATGAGCTATTAATGACTAGACCAAAATCTTATGCAAATCTATTTTTCCAATTCACATTCGTCTAAGTTTATTCTTCTTCACGGGGTTTTGGGGTTTTGGGGAGATCGGAAGAGCGTCGTGT